TGTTTCCGCCGATATCTTATAGCGGCACGAGACATGTCCTTTTGAGAATGCATCTTTGGCATGGCCACATGTATTTGGAATGGGCAATGTTACTCAAAAGGTAAAAAGTAAACAACGGAAAATTGGTGCCGTTTAACGGCAGATAGAAGCACGGAGTGTTTGCGGTTGAAGGGGGATGATAAGCTCAGCGGTGTAATAATCCTACCCATACTCCTACCTTGAAGTCCACCTCCCAGCAACTCATCATTGCAATGTTTTAGCAAATTCATGAGCTTATCACACTGGAAGTATGTGATTGGTCCAATAAAAAAACAGCACCCTCTTTTAAAATGGAAGTTGCTAAAATTTGTAATAAATATCTATGACAACTTTGCCACAAACTATATTGTTTGCTTTGCTATCCTGCATAAAGCAAATTGTTTAATGGTTTGTACTTGAAAGCACAGAGCAAATGATGGCGGGTTTGTTTTGTTAATATGGTATTTTAATTATAATTTTGGCGTGCATGTGTTCTGCAGAGATAACGCGTGTGTTTGTGCAATAGGTTGTGTGTTGGTTGCTTAATCCATGGATACCCAGACACGTTTGTGTTCATTGTCGTTTGTCAAATTTGCGAATGGAAGGACACTGATGCCACTTTGTACAGTGCAGTGTTTACCATGTGTGTTTGTTGTGTGCAGGAAAACATGTATCGATTTGTGTTTGGGTGTGTGTGTCGGAACGGTGGTGCAGTGATTAGCCTATTGTGCTACAAAGACCACCGAGCATGGTGTTGGCCACACCATCCCCTTATGTGTCATAAGTGCTCGCTAACAGCACTTGCCCTCACAGCTTGTTAAAGACTAAATCAAGGGATATTTGTCTATGCATGTGTGTACATTCTAGGGATGAGTTGTGGATATAATAATTTCAGAGATTTCGATTTTCAAAGGCAAATTTTAATATTTATTGTAATTTTCAACTTTCGGACGATTCAAATTGTGTACTGCTTAAAAATGTCTGTGTTAACAATTGTGTTGTCACCCAATACCAAGTGACACCACTTTTAGTGGCGAGAAATCGCGGAAGTGTTATACAAGTGATGTTATTAATAAAGGGAGATGTTTGTCTTTTACTATAATTGTGTGTGCTTTTGTATATATGTATGTGTGTAGTAGGTGCTTCCTTACATGTGTAGTGGCATAGAATAAGTAATGTATCAGCATAGCGCTGGCTGCTGGCGGGGAAGGGGATCTGCAGCTTACAGCAGCCCTTATGTCAGCAGGCCAGGGGATACACCAGAGGGGATATCTGGAGGAAAGGTTACAGAAGGGGGACAGGGGGAAGCCCCGGAAACCCGCTGGTAGGTTCTAGAGAAGGGGCGTGGCCGGAGTGGAGCGAGGCCACGCCCCTGGGAGCATAAAGGGGGCCCTGAACGAGAGCTCGGGGCTGTCGTTTCGAGTGGGATCTCCGTCGTGCTGTTGAAGATCGTTGCCATGTCGTCTTCACTCGATATTTCGCTGTTAGACGGTAGTTGGCTGTCTCGGTTCAGCGCCGTCAGTGTTAGACGGTTAGTGTTGAGTTGTGTATAAGCGAGCGACAGAAGAGTGTGTACCAGTGTAGGGTGTGTATTGTGCAGTGACACAACTGCTGTCCAGCAGCGGCAACTGCGGTGGACAGTTAGTGCACACGCCATTGAGCATATACACGGGTGTGCCAGCAGGGCAAAGGAACTGGGGTAAGGTTCACAGAAGACCTGATAGGGTTCGCGAAGGGAGGCGTGGCTAGGGCAGAGCCAAGCCATGCTGAGTAGAATAAAAGCAGCGGAGAGTGAGAGCTCCAGGCTGCCATATCTGGCAGTGGACTGGTCTTGTCGTTGCTGTCGTCGCCTTCTTCGTCGCTGCCGCCTTCGCCTGATCATTGCGCGGCCGGACAGTAGTTGGCTGTCTCAGTCGATACCGTCGGTGCAACGCGGACAGGGTTGTGTCTATGCCAGGCCATACAGCAGCGTGGTCGAGAGAGAGAGAGGAGGCCGGAGTTGGTGTGAACGGATAATAAAGAGAGAGACGGTGCCTCCTGCAACTACCTCGTCTCTGCCTGAGTGTGTGCACCGCACACCACACACACACACACGCCGGGAGGAAGGAGGACACAACACATGTATGTGTGTAGTAAGTGCTTGCTTACATGTATGTGAGTCGTTAGTCCTTGCTAACATGTATGTACGTAGTAGGTGCTTGCTAACAATCAGTATCGATGGCGATACAGAGAACGTATGCATGTCTTTGTCGTTATGAGTGTGATATAAAAGTTACTTGCTCACTGCACTACGAACCCAGCCACCTGAGTTTGATTCCTGGCCACTAATGACGCCAGTTGTACGTGGTATCTGAAACTATCATGGGCCTCCCTTGAGTCGATTCAGCCTCAAATGGGCATCTTGAACCAATGTGTTAACATTAGCACCGGGAAAACAAAGTTTGTTCTTGCCACACCGCCACAACGTACATTATGCCAGTCTTAAAGGGCGCTGACTAAAAGAACATGCCACAATGGTAACTATGACTAAATTGGACACCTGTGCCTCTTGGTGGGAATGGTAGTGGTTGTGGCAATGGTATAACGTTATGCACCCAGCTCTGCAATTTCCAGAACCCGACCTCAATTGTTAGTCGCTACCGAACGTGACAACGAGATATTGTGCCTGGCATGGGCTTCCATAAGATGACAGCTTAAAATGAGAAATAAGTACCTGGTGAGTGGTGAGATGTTTCTGGTGAGGTGGCTAGACATTGGCAGACAAGCATAGGTCGCCTACCTCATCGTTACTGTATGTATGCTGAACTTTTTTCGCACCATAAATAGCCAATTGTGCACTCAAGGGGCAGTGCTATATTATTATGTGTGAAATGTGTGGTTGCGTGTTTTTGAGTGTGTGTTTGCGTATGTATTAAATGTGTGCATATGAATAAAATGGGGCCTTACCACCATCAGCCTCACAAAAAACAAAGCAACTACCTGGACATTTTATGTCATCAAAAACTCCCTTGCCTCAACTCCCCATGAATGATGGGGCCATTATGGAGAGAGTAGAGAAGTTTGTGTACTTGGACAGTGTCCTTATGACCAGCTCCGGTTTTATAGCCAAGGTCTCATTCCAAATCAGTCGAGCGGCATTACATTTTCATCGGCTGCGTAACGCTGTGTGGAAGTTATCTGGCCTGTTGCTCCATACAAAGCTCCGTGTCTTCTCAGTCACAGTAATGTCCTCTCTTGCTTCTGCTTGCAAAACGTGGAGCCCTCAAAAGAAACATCTATAGTAGCTTGAAAAAATCAGCCTAGCCTGGGTTTAACCAGACTGGATTGTGTGAGGAGTTCACAAATGCTTGAAAGATCTGGACACAGTCCCATCAGTGAGCTCCTCCGTCAAGCGAGGTTGCGTTGGCTGGTTCATGTAGACTGCATGTGCAGCCACTGCATGCCCAAGCAGCTTCTGTTCAGCCGATAGATGGGGCTAAATGGGCGTGGCATGGGCTAGAGAAGAAATTGACTGATGTGGTACAGAAGTATCTGGAGTTGATTGGACTTGCCGATTACATGTACCAGCAGTGTCAAGATTGGCCTCTGTGGAGGAGGTTCGCGAAGGATGCTGCTAAGAAGTTGGAAGCAGTTGCCCTCTCGCAATAACCGAGGGCAGAGGAGCGATGCTCACAACAACGAGTAGAATGCTCGGCGGCGGGGAGCACAGTTGGTGCATCTGCCAGTAATCTCAAGTAGTCAACCCATGGCACCTGGGTCTGTTCCATGGCCTCCTGGCAGTGGGCCTTCAACATTTCACGTGGCCTCAAAGTGCACCTAGTATGGCACAAGCGCTGTGGTGATGTCACCGCCATTTAGTGGTGAATGGCGGTTATAGTTGTTGCGTATGTACACAGAGTGATTAGCCGAACTTGGTGAACTGCGTTCAATTTCCGACCACAGCTAAACATGTGTAGAGTACGCAGTGTGCGCAGTTGAGCGGGTGCAATTGAGGATGGGCAGGTGTGCGCGTTGGAGCATGAGGTTGGCGCCGGAAAGCGTGCAGTAATTAAGGGGAGAAGCAGGTGCAATCGAGGTTGAGCAGGTGCGCGTGCTCGGGCAGGAGGTTGGTGCCGGAGAGCCGGGAGATGGGGGCGATGATTAGGGATTAATGAGTGCGAGAGGCGCCGTGGAGGCGACAGCTTAAGTGGGGAGCACGTGATGACTCGGAATGAGGAGAGGTATATCAGCGGGAGTGTGTGTGAGCAGAGAGAGTTGTTCGGGGACCAAGAGAGAAGACATCTCGATGCTGCCGCTCGAGCCGTCAACGAGACCTCGCCCCTCACACCATCGCCGGGTGGGTATTGGCTGAACCCCCCGCCCAGGACAGACGGGTGAGTGGGTACGGGGCAGCGTAGGAGAGGGCAGCGGTGAGATAGGAGAGAGTAGGTTAGGAGAGAGTAGGTGAGGTGCAGAGTCGGTGAAATTAGAGGAGGTGAGGTGTGGAGTAGATGAGAGTGGGTAGTAGGAGAAACTGAGTGTGTGGTGACAGTGGAAGGCAGTCATAGGAGTGTCTACAATGGGTGTGAGAGTATGATTTAATAAAGTGTAAGCAGGTGACCTGTTACTCCGTGTCAATGTGAGTAATTTCGAGACACGACACATGGGTGGTGAGTGTCTGAACTGGCTATGGCCTATAATTTTTTGGTTCTTTCAGTAAAGTCACGTAAATAGAAAAATTATAATAAAAATGGCTATGGCCTCGCCCGGATAAACTCAGCCTTGAATGAGTAGCTGGTGACTAGGCGACTCGTAGCCATAGCCATTACGAGAGGTATACTTGATGTGGTGTGCCAGAGGCAGAAATATTTTCTGGCATGTTGACCCAAATAGAAAGACCGTCTCGGCAGAAATTATAGATTGAGTGTAAGCCTGCGATGTTGCATTAACATGTTGGCATTGTATGGCTGTGCGTGCGTGTGCGCATAGGAATGTAGCACCACCTGCGAGGAGTAGGTGTGTCCATCCGTGCCGCACACCGGTGATGGCCGCACCACAGGGCAGCTCTTGCAGCCCCCAGGTCCCTCTGCTGGTTCAGCAGGCCGCTGTGCCACCTTGGTGTGTTTCATGCTTGAAAACACGTGCACACGGAGACATACAAGCTGTTAACTATCCTCTGCTAAAGCAGCTTTGCCGAGCGGGTGGTGGCTTTCCATGCTTGTAATCCAGCACTGCGGATGCAGTGAGAGTTGGTGTATTGCAAATATGCTGTGTAGTTCCTTTCTAGCGGGCGTCAAGGAGGTGACATACACTGGCTTGCCAAGAGAAGGCGGTCCAGCAAATGTGAAATCCACCTCTTCTATTTGTGAGACAAAAAGGATTGCCCATTGCACGCATGCGATTTATCTGGGTGTTCCGGTTTCTTCCCACATGTAAACACTCATTAATTGGCCGATAACACTTTAACATACAGTTAAGCTGGGGGGTGGCGAGGGGGGGAATTTGGCACTGACTAACTGCCTTTCCCTTTTGTCTGTGGTTCCTCTCACGTTGAGAGTGATAGAATACTATTTACGTTGCAAGTTTAAATAAAACAATGAATTAATTAATGTACATGCGGGAATTAATGTCAGCTGAGTGTCCGGGTCAGCAACCCGAAAATTAAGCCCTGCTTAAACTTCCATACCCCTTGCTATTGCAGTGGCTATGAGTCACATGCCAACTCCAGTCTACATTATTATTCAGTGAGAAATTTAAGCCATGATTACAACTCGTATAAATATTTCACAGCCATTAGTCACATGCCTATGCCAGAGTTAGATTTCTATTGCATTTGTCTGGGTCAGGGACCCAGAAAATATTTCATAACCCGCATATCACATCCAGTATACCTCTTTGTTTATGGCTGTGGCCAGAAAAATATCCAGTGATAAATTAAACCCTGAGTAGGCAAGCAACTCTTTTGCTGATCCACTTTAGGATTGAGGCCCCCCCCATGCCAGTCCTGGATAAGTGAATTTTGTCTACCCCGGTGAGAACACAAGGGACCATGATTAGTCTAATTTGCAAGAGTGACCTCAGGCATTAGTTTGATAATAGCGAGGCAATGGCTGCTATGCGTAATTTATCTGGTTAGTGTGGGTTCTTGAAGCTGGGGAACATAGTGGTGGAAGCTTATAAGTAAATTACAATAATTATTTTTTCTACACTGCCCTCTGCTACCCACCACATAGTGCTGCGAACACACCCATAAAACACCAAAGGCAACGATCCCAGGTAAAGTCTACATATATTTGGTACAAGTGCACACCTATTTAGGCTGGCATAGTGCATGAGGGGGTGGTGTGATTAGCTAAACGCCTGGCCACCTTTATCTTCCTAGCGCTGATGTTTATATGCCGCACCAGATAATAATTTAAGGCTGAGTCAGCCTAGAGCAGACCCAGGACCAGTTTAGGCTGGGAATCAAACTTATGTTGCCAGGTTCATAATTTAGTGTGCTCTATCCATTGTACCACCTCTCCTTAATACACCCACATATAAATATGCAACACACCCATTGACACAATCTTTGAATGCATCCACAACAACAATCACCACCGTTAAACACTAAACGGCGATCACATCACCATGGTGCCTGTGCCCGGTAAGGTGCACTTTGAGCCAAATGGCAAGAGACCATGGGATAGGCCCAGGCTTATGGGTCAAATGACTGACGAATAGCACCCACACACAACCAATTAATTCAATCACACACAGAGACAAATACAAAGATCAAATATCCCCTGTATAGCCTTAACAGACTGTAGGGGAAAGTGCTGTTAGCGAGCACCTATAAAGGCAGAGGCAGGCACGGCACATGAGGGGGTGGGTGGCCAACACCACGCCCGGTCGCCTTTGTCTCCCTCGTGGCGATGTTTACACATTGCACCAGGTAATGATTTTAGGCTGAGTCGACCTAGGGAAGGCCCAGGACCGGTGCTAATAATCGTCACCACTGGTGTTGGCCGTGAGCGGGAATCAAACCCGGGTCGCCAGGTTCGTAGCACCGCGAGCTAACCGCTACACCACCACTCCCCACACAGAGATACACACAGCATCTATAAATCATGTATAATAATGCCCCTTATCCAAGAAAGCTACAATGAATCTTCATACTTTTCAGGATAATCCTAAATTTGAATGTTTGGTCAGTTCCATTAATAAGTATCATGTAATAGAAAGAGTACCCAGAGAAAATACAAACATATGAGGAGATAACACTCAGAGATCAGCACATAACTATTTTATAATCCATGTTCTGTCCTGCCATCTCTTGGCCACTTCACAACCCATTTATATATAAAGACAAATATCTCCCTTAGAGTCTTAACAGACTGTTAATTGGGTGCTGCAAGGGGCATGCTGCCAATAAGGGGTTCCCTAGGCTAAAAACTGTGTTATTGGATATATTGTGTTAGGTAATGGGTGCAATATAAATGCAAGTATTGTTATTCTTATCATCCTAGTACATTTATTCTTAATTATTTTGGGTAGGTGTATTTTGCATGACAGCTTGATGTACTCATACTCTTTGTTTTTTTCGGTAAAGTCACGTAGGTAAAAAAGAAAATAAATAAATTAAATCACAACGTTTCGGAGGCAACACCAGCTTCCGTCTTCAGGTAGAACCGTCACAGCAAAATGACTTATCAAGTGAAGAGAGCTCTAAGAGACACAAGATTATATACAGGTTAAGGGGGGGGGGGGAGGCGCCAGGATGGGCCGTGGGGGGGGGGGGCTAAGTTAAGCTGCCTTTTGTTATGCTGCAGGGGATTGGGAGGACGGATGAGCGGATGGGCGGAGAGAAGTGTGCCGTGGTTGAAAAAATTACACACATGATGTGTTTTGGCTGTGAAGGATGGTGGACGTTACATAGCTCTAACATTAAACCCACAAGATCTGACCCAAAATAAACCAATTTGCGAATCACAACATTGATCCTGAAGGAAGCCTACATATGAAATCACAGGGCAGCACACTAAACAATGTTCTACTGCTCTCATGCACACATATAAGCCCACTAAATACCACACAGATCCCCTTGTCTTCCATTGATAAAGCAGTTAAAATTATGGAAGCGAGTCCCAATTTTGGAGAGAAAGGCTCACCAAATAATGTGCATGGCATCACGTAATCCGACCACTTTTTTGTTTTCAGCACAAGATGGCACAGCCTGTATGCCTTAAGGGTAAGGCTACCAAATTTACCAGTTTCAGAAAAGCTGTCCCCCTGATTTTGTGAAAATTATAATTTTGTTTTGCTTTTAAAATGTCTGGCTTGATGATCGACTCATGATATGGACAAAGGGTAGGGCTACCTGAGCAGTGGGTGGGAGCCAATGCTAACCAGAGGAAGCCATTGTGGGCAGGGCTAGCGTTAGAATAGGTGTGGTTATACTCTTTGGTTCTTTCGGTAAAGTCGCGTAGATACAAAATAAATAAAATCACGAGGTTTCGGGCGCAACACAAGTGCGCATCATCAGGTGGTACAACCACAGCAATAAACAATTGCTGAAGTGGGCAAAAGGAGGCTGCTTGTGACACGAGGCTATATATAAGTAAGACAGGTGGGGGGGGGGGAAAGTCAGGGAGGAGAGATAGAGAGGGTGGGGGTATGGGGTAGGGGGGGCGGCGAAATGCAAGCCCCAACCCGAGCTCGAGTACAACACAATGCCGGGGCTGGGAAGTGCAAGCTCCAACCCGAGCCCGAGTACGACAAAATGTCGGGTCTGGGAAATGAGCGGGGCTGGAGGGTAGGAGGTTGAAGAAACTGGAGATGCGGATACGAAGGCAAACCAAGGTTCCAGTGCCTGACACCTTATCAATAATTGAAGATTTAATCCAACATGGACTGAACCCTGAGGTTCCTACTCTGGTTAGGCACTGCCTTACCAACACTTACTTCACCTGGAATGGTACTTTCTACAAACAAAATGAAGGTACTCCCATGGGTTCCCCCTTATCACCAGTGATAGCGAATATTTTCATGGAGAAATTTGAAATAGATGCCATCCAGACATCCACCGTACGTCCTTCCTTGTGGAAGAGATATGTGGATGACACTTTCGTCATTTGGCCAAATGGCCTGCCAGCATTGGACCAATTTCTAAACCACATTAATTCCATACACCGATCCATCAAATTCACCATGGAAGTGGAGAAGGATGGTAAGCTACCATTCCTGGATGTTTTGTTTCAGAAGAAACCTGATGGCTCTTTGGTACACTGTCTACAGGAAAGCCACCCACACAGATTCCTATTTGAAACCTGATTCCCACCACCATCCAGCACAGAATAATTCCTCATCAAAACCCTACACCATAGGGCCAATTGCATTTCTGACCAACACCACCTAGCCAGTGAATTGGAACACGTACACCAGGCCCTTAAGATGAATGGATACTCGGACCGCATTATCCGCAAAGCGGTTTCTCCAACCATGGAGAAACAACCCCCTAAGACGCCGATCAAAACCATCACGTTACCACACATAGCAGGCGTTACCAAAAAGATTGCCAAAATCTTAAACAAACACAAGATGCAGGTTCGATTCAGTACAGTACACAATCCGTGACGTAATCCCAACTGTGAATGATGTCATTCCTGACATGCAATATCCGGGAGTCTACAAACTAAGTTGCTCCTGTGGTGAGTGTTACATTGGGGAAACGAAACGGCATGTGTCGGACCGTGTTCGCGAGCACAATACAGATCTGAAACACGGCAGGACTAATACCTCCGCCGTGGCTGACCATTGTTATAATGCTGTGGGCTCTCATGATATTGTTTTTTCCGAGACCAAGGTGCTCTGCAAACCTTCGGGCTACTAGCAAAAGTTTGTTCATGAAGCCATCCAGATATATAAACATAGACATAACTTCAACCGAGAAGATGGATACAAATTGAGCAATCATTGGAAGAATGTTATTAACCAGGTAAAACCTTACCTGTTTAAAAGTTTGCCTACGTATCCGCATCTCCAGTTTCTTCAGCCTCCTACCCTCCAGCCCCGCTCATTTCCCAGACCCGACATTGTGTTGTACTCGAACTCAGGTTGGGGCTTGCATTTCGCCACTCCCCCTACCCCAC